TTCCTGGTATGTGGGGCAGGAAACGTATTTCCTTATATGGTGTTTTTGGGGTGGTAATTATGTAAATAACGTCTCTTCAAGCATGAGCAGCTGGATACGAACAGGTGTAATTCATCATGTTTACGCAGCTCATTTACACACTTTTCCTGAAGATAGAAGAGTTTGTTGAATCTGACGTGACATGTTCGTACGAACCCTTCATACGAACAAAAGTAAGGGAAATTTAGGAGAAGAATACGAACATGTTCTTGCATGAGGCCCAATGACTCAAACATTATTGTGAACATGTAAACATAATTTACTGACTTCTAATTTTGTGCCGCAAGCACCGTCCTGTCTCAAGTTATGATTAATATTCATATTCATATTGATGTTAGCAATCTTTTTACAGGCTGGTTAGGGATGTTTTGACTAAGCCAAATTGTTACACGTCCCTCCACATGTACGACGTTCAAATTTCGTGCAGCTAGCACTTTACTGTCTCAAGTTATGACTAAAACTAATCTCTATATTTAAAAAATATAGGTGCTTTCTGCTCGATTCAACCAAGCTGCCGCCCAGCTTCTTCAAACCCCACGGTCAATCTGACCAGTCAAGACTTGGCCTAATTTCTCCCACAAAGTAAGAAACTCCTACTTAGTGACTGCAGAGACCCAAATCTCAATGTGGACCCTTCACGTTTCTCACATAGTTTTTTGTAGTGGTTAGGGATGCACCAAGATGAAAGTTTCAGCCGATACTGATATCCGATGTTGTAATTGCTGTTATGGCCGAAAACCAATATTTACCGATATTACACAAACACATAAATTTATTTACATATACGCACAAATGCACTTGTCTTTTTTTGATACAGTAAAAAAAAGACCAGACCTCTGACATGGCTCTACTTCAGTTATCCCTGGCTGTGCAGCGTCAATATCACAGTTATGATCAAACAGATTCCACTCGAACCGCCATCTCCCCTCCCAAAACAAGAACACAAAGCTAAAAAGTGGGAAATCAATATTGGATATTAATATCAGCCCAGTTTTAATTATTGGAATGCGCGATATAAATGATATACGGTAGAAAAGATATAAATTTGTCCTATGATAGAGATCTGTAGTCTACCGGCCAACCGCGCAATTCTTTTTGATGACTTAACCGGATGGAGTCAAAACAGAGGAAGCAGGAAGCAGCGTGGCTGAGAGCGCAAATGAAGATGGGGCAAAAACATAACTTATCTGGACCTTGATCGGGTGTGTGAAAATAAACGCCGAACTGTTTACATGTTTACGTGACGGCGCGTCCTCCGGTCGGATGCCGGCCGACAGACCACACTGCCTGCTGCGGGAGGAGCGCGCGCCGCTGCATGTGTGAAGGGCTCGACACACGGGAGGCGACGTCGCTCGCTCTCCATTCATTTCCACGCAGCGAGGCGACTGTCVGTGCAGRTGRAGTCAGTGCTCAGGTGGGAYGCACAAAAATCAGTCTGGACCTCGTTTCTCCTGCGGTCATAGCGCAACGACGCACGGCAGAATGCACGAGCACTCCAAAGCGTGACTATAATGATTATCACCCCGCCGAAGCGCGTGTGATTTAACCAGGTAGATCTCCCTTAAATTTRGATTTTTATGGGAAACTTTAAAGTGTCCCTTAAAAAAGGAGGTTTTTTTTATACTTTATTTTTTTTATTTTTGATATGTTTTTTATACAGAACAGCAACGAGAAAGAAAGAAATAATACTAACAAGAGTAAAAAAAATAAAGATAATAAAAATAATAATACATTAAAAATAGTCACAA